AATAAAATATATATAAATGTAGTTAATACAAATAAGATAGTAATTTATAATTGAAAGTGTGAGGACAGAGTATTTAAGCTCTGCCCGAGAATAATAAAGATTGACTCCCAGAGCTGGCGGCGATGTGAGGCGCGCGGGCTTCACGACTAGATGAGCGTCGGTGCAGTATACGGAGTAATTAGTTAACACTAGTTTAAATAATTCTACTATTCTAAACGTATGGGTAAATGGTTACCGTATTTATAGGCAGCTATTTAGGATAAGAGTAATGTCGATGAGGATTCTGACGGATGTGGACAAGGAAGCTTGTTTCTGTGATATTGAAAATAGACTCTGTTCCGTGGGAATTGCATATCAATACGAGTTAAGTATTGATATTGGTTTCCGTTTCAGTTTTGCCACATTAGTATCAATACATGATAAAATGTTAGCGGATGTTTGCTACCGGACGGTTTACTACAGTGTGTATAATACGTTTATAGTGTTTATACAAACTATTAATATGATTTCCAAGTCAAAATTCTAAAATATAAAAATGTTAAAGAAAAAACCGTGTTTCATGTAAAAATTAATTTATTATCTCAGGTTTCATGGGAAGGGAATTCTAACCCCCCCCCCCCCCATGGATACGCCACTGACTATATGTACATGTCTTTTCACCGACGGGCAACAAAAGAAAAGTTTACGGTCGCAATTAGATCATCGGGCATGCGACGAGACCGTATCATACGATATAATAATATGTTGATAATAAGAAGATACTGAAATCGTGTACTATTAAAAGTTTTTCACCTATAAATATTTACTGATAAACAATTATAAATATAATATAATTTTCATCAACTATTCATAATGAATTCAGTCGGGTATTACCAGGGCTGGATTTAGGAATATGGGGGCCCTTAGCTCACCCTTAAAAGTAAATTTTTTTTTTGATTACTAATCTAAAGAAATAAAATATCTTACGGTCGGGTCAGGGCCTTTCAATATACTTCAGTATGTTTATTAAGTTGCCTATACTTAAAATATGATAGATATATAACCGACTCCTTAAAATTATTTTTGTGGGTTTGTTGATATAATTTTTTATTTATAAATAACGCTTCGAGTATAGATAAATACATATACGTGAAATATGAGAAATCACGTGATTCGTGATTTACAACGATTCACAGCCTCCATATCCATCTTCGACCTTTCTTTGCTGTGAAAATTTCCTAAACGAGAACAGAAGATTAGAAAGCCAGCATAATACTAGCGAACGACAGCAGTACACCACCTTCGCAACCATAGGCGTAACTTGTAAATTTATTAGGGGGGGCGGGCAAAAATATAATTACATATCTAACGAAAAGGGTGTCCGAGGCTAAACGTCACTTTACTACATACATATTATTATATAAAATTATTAATTTTCTAACATTATTTTAGCGAAAATTTAAAATTAAGATTTAAAAAAAAAAAATGTTATAGTAATAGCTATAACCAGCTGTTTTGTACTTATTTTAAAACAAGGTATGTTAAATATCAGAGGGGGCACTGCCCCTCCTAATTTATTCTAGGGGGCAATTGCCCCTCCTTACCCTCCAGTTTACGCTTATGTTCGTAACAGTAACCAGAACAGTAAATATTTAGGTAACTACGACGTCAACCTGAGGTACTCGTTCCGGCGACGACGGATAAGAACGGCGACCGGTAATTGTTCGATAGCTATCGGCGACGAACATCCCCACCTGTATGCCAACCTCTGCGACATATACATATATATATATACCTGGGCTCTGATACCGGCTGGAACCCGATTGAGCACAATTGATCTTTTTCGTAACCCGATTGAGCACGGTTACAATCAAACAATAGGAACCAAAAAAGAACCCAAAAACCACACGATTGAGCACGAAAATGGGTGCGATGTTGCCACTTAATACCGTAGAATATTATTCGGTACACCGTATTACTGTGCATTCAAGATTTTTTTATAATTATTATGTAATTCAATTTTAGATTTGTAACGATTATTTCATAATTTAAAATATTTACAGCTCAGGTTTCCTAAAAGAAATAACTCTCCAATAAAAAAACGACAAGACACCTTTTTTTTCGCATTTTTTATGTTGTCGGTGTATAGAGCTCAGTGCGTCATATAATTATTACTATTATTACAAAATAAAATGTATTTGAGTATGAGTGTAATTATTTATAATTAAAAATCTTTTATTGGATTTTAATAACATGTTATAATAACATTTTTTTTCTTTACTGAAAAATAGCACTCATACAATTGTCATGAAAAAGGTAAAAATTTAAATTGTTTTCCCTAAATACTTATTTTCAACTTTCAATAAGTATTTAAGTAGGTTGTCAGCATTTTTAAATTCAGAGTACTCACGATAAGCCTTTATAGCGGTATTTTAACGCACGGTAAAGTCAAGGTGCACGCGACAGTTTTCGAAATATCGCGCCATCATTTTACTGCGCGACACTCGTGTGTTGTGCTCTATTCATTTTAATGTACTTTAACAAAACGCGCAGTAAAATTACGGCGCGGTAAAAATGTCACGCGATAAAATAACGCTAGTTTGTTGCTAGCCTAATAGTTCGTTTTCAATCTGACAACTTTGTACACAATATTTTTATTTTTTTTACTGTGCTCAATCGCAATCGGGTCGTTAAAAAAGTTGGCCGGTAAGGACCGTGCTCAATTGGGTATCGCCGCTTATACCCGACGACCATCGTCGTCTAAATTATAAAACGGTAATTTTTAAAGCCATCGACTTTTGACCTCTCACCACCCATCATTATTTGATCGCTAAGGACCCGAGTCAGCTGGTTTATTAATTATGGAAAGTATGAAAAAACGGATAGCTGAATGTATACAAATTGGAGGCGGTCACTTAAGTAATGTAATTTTTAAAAGTTAAGATTTTTGTTAATAACAATTAAAAATAATCTTTTTGTTGAATAAAATACAATTGTTTTCATTACTTTTTTTATAATAATTGACTAATAAACTACAATTATAATTCGTCAGAACCCACTGCCCTACTCTGTATATCATAAGTATTACGGGTTGCTATAAATAACTTACATGCATCGAGATAAGATATACAATACTACTAATACTATTTTTTTTATAGCGTTTTCCCGTACTCCACTAATACTGGTAGTATTACCCACAGACTTGTACGTTATATGTCTATGGACTAGATATAAATAACATAAATAAAATTATTAACTCTTGATGTTATTATTTATAACAATTAAAATATTAAATAACAGTAAAATGCACAAACTAAGATATATATATCTTAGTTCCTGATAAAATACGTCTTTTCTACCATAGTGCTTTTGTAGGTATTTACTATTTAGTTATTTTTGTTGATAAAAAAAATGGTTTTTTAAAATATAGAAAAACTATTTTTTTTTAATTACTGAAAAATGTGTATCAGCTTAAAATTGTTTGGGCCCCATTCACATGGGTACTCAAGAGGGCCCCGGGGTTGCCACCCCGGCTAGACCCCCCCTTAAATCGACCTTGTTGACCACCACTCACCACTCCATGCATATAAATGTATATATTTATTAATATTATAGACCAACTACTGTAAAGAGATAGCTTCCGACCTCTGTCCGCCTCATCCGCTTATTTGAGCATGATGCGGAACCGCGTCCTATTTCTATTATGTAAATACTCAAAAATTATCTTGACCAATATGTAAGATAATAACTATTTAAAAGGTGTTAAATTATTTCACGGGATAGCATAGTCAATTCAGGCTACAGCAAATCAAAGCAGTAGCTGGTAATTCAAAACGCATCGTTGCAATGTATATTTTAAATTTATAATAATAACAATATTTTTTATTATGGCAAGTTTTTCTTTCATAGGTTACAAATTATACTATAGACCAGTGGTTTCCAACTTTTTATGAACATAACCCTGAATTTTAAAATTAAACTATTTGCGTTCACAAAAAAATAAAAATGAAAAATAGTAATTCTAGAAATTGAAATCATAATTTCTAACTAATATCAATTTTTCCCTTGCATCTCAACATTTAATTCATTTAACATTTCAAAAACATCACTTAAAAAAACCAACTTGGCTAACCACACATCATCATTAAATTTTTCAGGCATTGAGTAGTTTTTTTGTTAGAAAAAATATTTATTTTTACACGACACGATAAAGAATTTTTTCTCCAATAATCCAATTAATCTCCGAAGCATTGCCGGTGCGCCATTAGAACATATTCTAATTTAGTCAGTTTAAACTAGGTCATTTTTCCGAAAAAAATTATCGATATTTTAGATTTTTACTTTTTTTCGTTGAAAATCTTTTAACTGTCGGTCTTTAACTTTGTTCATTTTCGTTTCTCAGATAAGCGAACTGTATCCATATATAATACTTTTGTACTTATTATTCTACTCGTATCTTCATGAAAATTTTAATATTATATATTTATACGTAGGTATTTAGGGATTTTTTTGTGAAAATGTATTTTATCATTACTTTATAATTCTGTTTTAAAAATGCACTAGACTGGTGGCACACATATTTTAATTGACTAACCTAACTGACTCCTGCGTTATTCATGAGAATCGATTTTATTATTTTATTTCAAATTTATAATTATACGTAGAAACAATAGAAATGTGTGATGCGACTCGTATACCAAATATTACTCATTAGTGTCATGAATGTTTGGTCTTCATATTCTTACCACTAATACTAAATTTTAAAATACGTATTATATTATATTTTCATTTACTCGTATTTTCTAGTGTGATTTATCACGCGTGTCTAAAAATAAATCGGAATATTTATTATTTAAAAACATCAAAAAAAAGTGGGAGTAATATATATATATATATATATATATATATATATATATATATATATTATAATGTATATAACACATATATTTGTACATTAATAACAAAAATAATAAACACATCCAACTTTACGAAGATGACGTCACCAATTATTTTTACATTCCTGTAACATTTCTTTTTTCAAGCACATTTTGTGCTTGTGAAATCTATCTTTTCAAAGCTATGTTTGTTGTATTTTAATTTACAAAATATGGTTCCAACATTTAAATTATCAAGTTTTACTTACTAAAAGATAAACTAATCGAAAAATTAAATAGCACAATTTATACAATGAGTTCAAAAAAGGGAGAAAGTGATCGTTACATTAACGAATATTCAAGAATAAGAAAATTGACAAGTAGATATGACATACGGACTCAATCAGTAATATAATTTATTCATTTTAAATTTATATTCAAAATCGCATATGATTATAAATTTATTTTAGAATGAATTTGGTTTGTCGGAAGATCAAGTTGCAGGTAAATATTAAAATAATTTTAGTATTTAAACATTAGTATCAATTAATATTTGATGGTGGACACTATTAATTTTTCAATCAATTTATCTTTATAAGTACTAAGGATAAGTTAATTTTTTCTTCTTTTAATTGCTTAGTATTTAAAATAAATATTATTTTTTCAAATATAATTGCAACACAATGCAATTTTCATTTTTTATTTAAAAATGTACTTACTTATAAAAGAATTAACATTAATTACATGACAAATGTTAATTATAAAATATTATTTACAAAATATTTTTTAGAATTCAAAGAAGCATTTATGCTGTTTGATAAGGACCATGATGGATGCATTACTGAGGCAGAACTTGGAGTGGTAATGAGATCATTGGGTCAAAGACCTACAGGTATTAATTGTTTATAATGTAATCTTACATAGTCTTATGAATATTATATAAATATTAACCCATAATATGCTGGTAGGTATTTTGTTTGAAAAAACCAATATTACATTTTAATTTTATACTTATTTCAGAGACCGATTTGAGAGGTATGGTAAAAGAAGTTGATCAAGACGGTAATGGTAGTATTGAGTTCAACGAATTCATTTTAATGATGGCAAGGAAGTTAAAGGCATCTGATGGTGAAGAAGAAATGCACCATGCATTCAAAGTATTTGATAAAAATGGTGATGGATTTATAACATTTGATGAACTTAAACGTGTAATGAATTGTATTGGAGAACGACTAACAGATGAGGAAATTGAAGATATGATAAAAGAAGCTGATCTAAATGGTGATAAAAAAATTGATTATAAAGGTGAAAATAAGTTAAAAAAGTTTAATTTAAAATAATAAAACAATTGTTTTGTTTTAGAATTTATTACAATTATAACTTCGAAAAAATAATGGTAAGTTAAATATACATCATTTAAATTATTGGTTTTTAATAAATGTAATTTGAGTACATAATTCAATGTATTACAAAATATACAATAAAATTAATATTATTTTTTTGGGGTTATTTATGCTTAAATAAAAATTATTACTTTCTGAATTTTTTGAACAATGGATGTTTTACACCAGAATTTCTTCTAAACTCTGCATAAACGGCATCATCAGCACCAGACATTGAGCTCATTTTACCACTCATTTTCTTGAAAGATTTGGATGTACCCTCATATGGCATTCGTTCTTCATCAGCATCTGTATCATTAGCTGCTAGGACTTTACTTAATAATAAACCTTGATCTTCTCTACTAGAATAAAATAGTTCTGAATCCTAAAATTTAAGGAAAATTAAATAATTCGATATATATATTTTTTAAATTTCATTTGTTATACCTCTTCTAACCCAGCCAATTTTGTAACCACTTTGTAACTATATCCTTGATCAATCAAAAATCGTTGTCTTTTTCTTGAATAACTCATTTCTATTGTATCTTGTGATACTAAGGTATAAAAGAATGCATTGTACTCTTCAGCAATTGCAGTCTTTTTAGCACGTAAAATACGACCAAGACGTTGAGCTTCTTGACGTCGACTTCCACCATGAGAAGAAATTTGTATAAGAACATTTGCATCTGGTAAATCAAATGATGTATCAGCAACTTTACTGACAAATATTGTATTGACTTTTGGATTTAATTTAAAGTTTTGTAAGATTTGGATTCTTTCTGCCTAAAAAAAAGTGATGTATATAAATAATAATTAATATTTTAGTGAACTAAACTGTACATCGAATTTTTTATTTCTTATTAATATTTAATATTATTATGTTCAACAATATTTATAAAATACCTGAGATGTTGGTCCATAAATATAAGGTTTACTTAATTTTAAAGCATATTCTTTAAGGGCAAAAACATTATCAGAAAAGACGATAGTTTTGTCTCCCCGTTGTTCATGATATCGTATTAAAAATTGACAAGCACGAAATTTATTTGGATTCATGACAAAAAAAAGCTGAACATATAATTATTTGTTAATAATATTATATAGTATACTCTTAGTAATTGTAACACATTACCATTTTTTTACACGTTCTAGTAGCTAAATATTCACGGTAAAATTCTGGAGCCATTGGACACCATACTTCAGAACATTGTACTTTAGCAATGTAACCTTTTTGTTGTAGTTCCAACCAGTTAGCTTCATATAGTTTAGGACCAATCAAAAAGTTTAAATCTGCAATTTTATCATCTTCTCTTAACAATGTAGCAGTTAGGCCCAATTTGCAATGTGATTGAACAAGTGTTAGTACACGTCGAAACATTTTAGCTGGTATAGTATGCACTTCTAAATATTTAAAATTTTAATTAAAATAAGCAAACAAATAAATTTTTTTTTTTACCATCTAACACCATTATTCCCCACTCTTGCTCTTGAATCCACTTCATAGTCTGTTCAGCTTCCCATGATCTTTTTTGAGTATGTGTTATCATTGAATAAGTAGTTATAAACACACCACAACCCATTAATTTGTCTTTAATATCAGAAGTAAATCTGCACACCAAACTATCATCAGCTAAGTAATAAATTTAAATGTTTCAAGATTTTGAATAATTATTTAATTTTAAATTTATTTATATATTAAAATTAAAAATTAATTAATTACCTGTTGACCACATTTTAAATTGATATTTCCACTGTTCAACAGATACTGCTGAATTGCAAAGGACTAATGCGCGTTTACGCACAGTACAACATGCTGTCACTCCTACTAAACTTTTTCCAGCACCTACAAACAAATTTCTTTTCGTAAACATAACACTATTTAAAATTAAAATAAATCAAAATATAAAAATATAAAGAATACAAATTAAATTTACCACATGGTAATACAATAATTCCTGATCTTGCACGACTATTACCAAACATTTTCCTCAAACTTTTTTCTTGATAAGGTCTAAGTGTAGCTTGAGGTTTTAAATCTATGCTGTAAATGAATAATATATATTAATAATAATTAATTAACAACCATACAACATTTGTTAAACTCACTTAATATCTTTATTAACTTTATCATTTTTAAAATCATATTCAACTAGCAAAGGTGTATCAATTTCTATACAACGCTTTTGGATGATTTCAATTTTTTCTTGTTGAACTTCAAATGATACTAGATTTTGTGTTTTTTCTTCTTCTTCTTCTTCAACCTTATCAATTTTTTCATATAAATCTGTTATATCTTTTGGTACAATATCATTCAGCTGATCTTCTTTATCTTTTAATGATTCTCCAGGAAACTAAAAAAATAAAAAAAATATTATATTTGGGCCCAGGTTAATAATATCAGAAGTAAATGTTTATAAACTAATTGTAATGAGGTTTTTGAATATAAACAGTTTTATGGTATATTTTAAAATATTCATAATTCCATGATGTAATATTCTTTTGCACTTAATTAATTTAAAAACAAAGGAATAGTGTACACATATAAAATAATTACATGTGACATTTCAATTTTTTTTTCTTCAGTGATGAGTACATCTGTATCTTCTAGTCTCTTGAGACGACAAGAACCAATTACTGGATCTTTAAGAAGCTTCTGTAACATATCTGGATGTTGGGATTCAATAAAGTACCGATTATGTTTAAGCACTAGTTTAACTTTTCCATAAGAAAGTGTGCAAACATTTATAAACTCTATTATACCATCAGGTATGCTAGTTTTACTCAAACGTTTCAAATATTCAATAATATCATTTGTCTGCAATCCAACACTGACAGCTGCATACAATGAATAAGCAGTTAATTTATACTGAAAAAATTAAATATATTAAATTAAAATAAGTTTATTTTCTATCAAAGAAAACATAATCCCTAGTTAAGTGATATAAATAAATACTTCATGTAAATGAGTTGGTCTACAAACAGGTTCAGCAATGGCAATCATAAAGTCATGAGCATGTCGGTATACAGGAGAATATGATTCAAGAAATATATGTCCATCAGGTGCTACCCATAATGGTCGAGATGCATGATCTGTTTTCAGATTCATTTGTGATCTATAATCTTTAGCACCAAAATCATCTTCAACACAATTTGTTGTAGTCTCTGCAGTCTTTTTTGCTGCACTTGGTAAACCCTCTATAATTAAATTAACATTTGTAAATAATAGATATTCATTATGAGTTTAATAAGATCATAAGATGATGTAAACAATGTGAAATATGTGTATTATAATCATATGATACCTTCTTCGTTTACTGCTAATAAAACAGGATCATCTAAACCCATTGAGTTTTCATCAAAATCATCCTTCTTTCTTTTCCTGCCCCTTTTCTCTGAAAAATATAAGCTCATTAATTTAAAAATTAAAAGATTTACTATAATTTACACATGTTATCTATAAAATATAACCAACTATGATTATTTAATTAAATAAAAGTAATTTTTCAATACTAATATTTGTCTTCCTATCAATAATATAATTAATAATAAAATAATAAAAATTTAAAATTATTAAATAATTAATACATGAAATTAATATATAAATAAATAAATAAAAACCTAAATATTATTATATTTGTAAAGTATGACCAGTTTAAAATTAAAAATTCATCATCAGGCTTATAGAAAGTTAAAAAAAATCACGACCAACTAAGAAAAAATAAAAAACACAAATAAAACAGAAATAGAACGAAATAAAATTTTTAATTTGAAACTAGTTGAAATTTACAAATATTATAATACTTCAAGTTTTTTATTTCTATATAAACTATTTATTTATATAATTAAATTTAGTTTATTCTCCTATCGTATTTTATTATATTATTAATTTTTCAATAAATTAATAGTTAACTAGGTCTAATTGAAATTTCTTTTTTTGATTACAATACTTAAATTTTTAAGATTTTAAAAAATATTATTCAGTATCTTAAGACAATGAATGAAAAATATTATTTCATACTGAACATGCTATATTCTTAAATATGTACATATAACTGATCCTGTTAATCTATTCAAAATGTATTCTGTATCAATTATAAACCTAATTTTTCTATTGATATTGAAATTCTTGGTTGCTGTTAAAATACAAGATTTTCTTGGAATGATATATATTAAGTTCCTAGACACAGTCAGAGAATTCATTAAATATACTTGCTTAAAACTGCACATTTTTCCTATTCTTATATTCTTGATAAATTTAATTGAATGCATTATTGCAAGTCAATGAAGATAAATTATAATTATGCCAGTGATTTATAGTACATTTGCTATTTTCTCTCTTTTTAAGATTATTAATTATTGATATCAATGAAAAGGCAATTGATTTAATTTGACAGGTAAAACTAAACTTTGACAAAATACAACTGAAATTATGTTGGTTTTTTTTATATTACATTAAATAACTGAAAGAATTACCTGGATGTTCTTTTTTTGTTTTGCCCATTTTTTAATAATTAAGAGATGCGGATGATATGGCCCACAAAAAGGTAGCAATATTTTTAATTAAATTTAAATTTTTTATTGATAAGCAGTTAAATAATGGATAGTTTAACGCTATAGAGGATATAGATACTGTGAGAACGCATAACGGTACCCCTTGTAGCACTTCTGAGAACAGAAACTAATCAAAAGACGACAAAGGGTTCGCAACCAATAGGTAGGCACTTGGTACAAAACACTATGCAGTACGAATGGAGCATAAAATAAAAAGTAAATAGAAAATAAGAAAAAATTCTCATCAGTAACGGATACTCAAATAATTTCACAAGATAAGTGTTTGGAATGAACTATATATTAACACTGTTTACAGTGACGATAATGAAGATAGCAACAGATGGACAAAAAACGTTCCTACATGCTATTGGTTCCTAAAAATTTTAAAATCATATAATCTAGAATGATTAATGCAATAAAATGTATAAAATTAACCATTGGATAATAATTTGTTATGCTTTTCAAAGCAGTCATTTAATTTAATTTTAAGAAATGCCAAATTAATAAACAATTAATTATTCCTGTGCACGATTTAGTTTTCAAAGAACCACTGTACAAAACTCGGTACCCATTATCTATTATTGGCTTTAATGACAAGGATCATAGCCAAAGTAAACCTTGGATCATAGCAGGAAAAATCTGTGTTCGACTAGGTCCATCAGATGTCTCTGTCTGCCCAAGTCTGATTGGAATTCTTATCTTTGATGGCTGATAATTATGTGTTATGTTCTGTGGTTAGAGGGGCAAAGGGTATTTTTCGCCCCTCCAAATATAGGTACGAGCTTAGTTGATACTTCATGCGGAAGAGCTTGGAAAAGAATTTGGACCGGGCGTATATAATATTTTCGGTAATAATAATAATCTATTGTAACTAAAACCATAAATTAAATTAATTAAACATACTATGGGATTTTCTGTTAACACATTTTTCACTTATAGACAAAAATACACAGTATTTCTGTCTATAAGTGAAAAATAGATTTGAAGAAAAGACTACAGTAAAATACAGAATTTGTACGAGCTATTTATAATAAAGAAAAACAAACGTCTTATCAACAATAATATTTATATTTTATTACATATACGCTTATGCACCTTGTCTATTTTCGACAAAAGTATCGTTTCCTATAGTATTGATACTGTCGTGTAATGCGTACAGCTTATGCCTAGTCAGTAGTCATTAATGCGTAATATTATTATATCATTATGATACGTAGTTCTTAGTTGCATGGCTTTTTGAGTGATTTTAAATTAATGATTTATTTACAACTTCCTACTTATAAGGTTGTTGAGTATTTTAAAATAACGAATTGTTTTTTTGTCCTACCAGGAAACTATAATTGTTGTCTTGAAAAAACAATTTTAAATTAGTATGATAGTAGTGGTTGATTAGAGTCCACCCTCAGTTTGCCCCACCCCTTAATATTTTATATTCCGGCGTCCCTGTCCATAGAGATAGAATAACTCTAGACTTACTCTAACTCTATGAATTATATCACAGATTATATGAATATCATAGACATATTAAGATATATCTTAATATGCCTATGATGAATACAGATGGTACACTCCCTATGCTACAATAGGGTCTTTTAGACCATAGAGTAATATTACTCTATGCTCTAGACGCTTGTCATCTATAATCATATAATCTGTGGTTATATTAGGTCTTTTTAAAATTTGTATTTTTAAATTGTTTATTAATTATTAAATAATATTAATAATGGCTGTATCTAATAAATCCAAATGTAGATTTGCATGTGCTGTTGTTAATTGTGTAAATTGTTCGCGAAAATTGAAACAAGATGGAATAACTAATGTATCATTTCATAGGTATTTTACTGTGTTTTTACTTATGATTGCTACTAAAAATACAAAAATTGGTGTTATTATGTTATTAAGTTGTTTAAAATATTTTTACAACTTAATTTTTTCTATACGTTTTATTTTTACATAAATGTCCTTATGCACTAACATGATAATACTTAAGCTAGTTTCTCATTATAAATGGATTTTTTTGATAATATAATTTTTAAAATAAACTGTCCTTAATGGGTAAGAAGTAAAACTATACCTATTTGTTATTTATTTATTTTTTTTTCATTATAATTTAAAATCATAAGTTTTTATTTACTAGTTTTGTAATACTGTTATATACAATACCCCAATTATTCCAATATAATTTAATACTTATAGGATATTAGTAACCTTGGTTTATATCAGGGATGAAAAACGTTTTTGAAACCATTTTTAAAAAAACGTTATTAAGTGAAAAAAAAAATGAAAAATGAAAACGAAAATAAATTATATTATTATACTATTCTTATTTATTATGAAAAAAAATATCTGTTATTAAAAGCATTAAACAAAAACGTTATTTTTTAAATCAATTAACAAAAACAAAAACAAATAAATTAAAAAATGTTTTCCATTCCTGGTTTATATGATTCCATTGGTTTATTATTTATACCTTAATTATATTTAGGTTTCCAAAGAACTTGACATTGCAGAAGGAATGGATTCTGAAATGCAAAGGTGCAGATAATTGGAACCCTTCTTCTTCTTTTATATGTTCTGCACATTTTACAGTTGACAAATTTATTCATAATCTTAAAGCTGAACTTTTAGGATATGTTCCTAAAGGACGGAAATTAAAACCTGAGGTTATTCCTTCCTTAAACCTATCTGAGCATTGTATTCAAGCAGATAAAGTTTCCACATCAGCCTTTAATCGCAATAAAAAAAATGGAAGCTAAATCCTCAAAACAGGTTAGTAGCCAATACTAAAATGTTAAATTCTATTTTTTCAAATTTAAAATTTAGAAATGCCCTTACTATTATTTAATAATTGCATTACGCATATTTCAGGCTCATAATGAGGTTATTACTATGACTCTTAATAATAGAGAAATACAATCATCTTCAAATCAGTCAGTATTATTTGACTCCACTGAAGAACCACCTGAAATCATTAATTATGAATGTTTATATAAAAATTTATTAAAAGATCACAACAAATTAAAAACTGATTTAAGAATGCAAGAAAATGAATTGATTTCTGTTAAAAATTTAAATAATACTTTACTCAAGAGTAATGAATCACTCAGATCTAAAATAAGCGAAATACATAAAGATGTCAATCTTTTAAGTATAATAATGATTAATCAGAATTCTTTAATTAAAGAATTTAAAAAATCATCTGTAAATTTAATAACCAGAAGTATCGAAAATGAAGCAAAGAAATATCTATCAACAGTATTTTCACAAAACCAAATTGATCTAATAATGAAAAAAAAGAAAAAAGTACATTGGTCGAGAGATGAAATATCTAAAGCACTCACTCTCAGATATTTCAGCAAGCGTGCATATATTTATGTCAAAAATGAATTAAACTATCCATTGCCTGGTAAGTAAGATACATTTTTTTCAATCATAGTTTTATATTAACTAGGTATTTTCTTTTTTTTTTTTACAGGAATATTGTCTCTGCAGCGATGGGCAAGGAATATAGACTTGAGAAATGGAGTTCTTGGAGATGTTCCAATTAACAATGTAGAACATTTAGAAGGAAGTGGAAGTAATACAGAAAGTGACAATGAATCTCTACTAGAAATAGACAAAAATAAATATGAAAATGAAGAAGATGCTATAGAATACTTGGCAGGTTGGGTGGTCAAAAAATATAATTTACAATTTCCAGAACTTGGTTTAACTACAACACAATGTAATTTAGAATACCTTCAAGAACATGATTATCGAATACCAACATCAATTCATAATTTATCTTATGGTAGTTTGATTGTACCTAGTCAAGATTTCAAAAATAAAATTAATAGAATTGAATGGCTGATTAAAAAAATAACAAAAAATCAAATTTCTAAAAGGCCTGGAGTTGTAAAATATCTAATTAATAAAATTACTCATCAGATGGACATAGAAGAAAAATATAAACCTGTAATTGAAACCTACATCAAGCAAAGAATTTTTATTGGAATGAGATACTTAAAACAACATCAATATTTATTAATAAAAAAAAGAAAAGCAAAAACACAACTTCTGAAATTACAAATACTTAAAAGACTGATGACATAGGGAATTAAGTATATTGTACATATAATTTTGCATTTTTTTTTTTATTTGTAATAGAACTTTATAAATATTATTATTTTGTAATTTTCATATGTAACTGATTTAAATTATACCTTTCTGTAACTATGTTTTTTTTTATTATTAGCATTTTTCAATTATTTATATTATTGTTAGGGGAAAAAAATAGAAATATACTTTACTTCAACTGAATTTTTAATCATTTAAGTTATAAAAAATATGTTTAATAATTATTATTATGTTTAAGTTAAACATCCTCTCTTAAAATAATTAGTATTATTAGCATTTTATAATTATAATAATAATTATATTTGAACAATTTAAATATATTATATTTTGATTGATTTTTTTTATAATTGTGTAAAATTAAATGTAAAATATATCAATTATTATTATTATGGTGAGGATTTCACTTAGATCTTTGAGGGCAAGGTTAAGGTTTTCGATAGCGAGATTAAGATGTTTGTTTGAAGTAAAAATAACCAGATCGTCCGCATAAATTAGACATTGATGACCGCGCGATGAAAAATGTTTTTCTACGATACTCATATATACGTTAAATAGAATGGGGCTAGGGCAACTGCCCCGTGGAAGGCCGGAAAAGGTATAGCGGGTGTTAGTTGCACTGAAGAAAGAAGAAAAAAATAGATTCTTATGCTTGAAGAGGGAGGATAAAACGTTGCAAAATAAAGTGGGAACTTGTAAAGAAAGAAGATGGGAAATAAGTGTAGAAATGTTAACAGAATTGAATGCACCACGAATGTCGACAAAAATGGCAAAAAAAAATTCTTTGTTGTTGAAAGAGTGATAAATTTTCCCAATAAAAGTTGAAAGACATTCCAAGGTACCCATACCTTTCCTAAAGGCAAATAAATTAGCAGGAAGGATGGAGTTAGACTCCAGCCACCAATCAAGTCTAGATTTGAGTATAAACTCGAAAATTTTGCATATAGACGAAGAGAGATATAGGGCAAAATGAGTTGTTACTGTTAGGTTTAAGAATAGGGATAACATGATAGGAAGTCCAGGTGGATGGGACCTGTTGAGATGCTAAAATATTATTGAGAATGGATAGAAGAAAATGGAAAGCATTGAGTGGTAAATGTTTTAGCATGATTGGTTAGATATTATCTAGACCTAAGGCAAATGATTTACGCGAAGAAATAGCAATGTCGAGTTCGATCACAGAAAAGTCTTTTGTGAGGACGTGGGGTGGAGAATGTTGGGAGTAATAATTTGGGTAGATTTCCGAAGCTGACGGAACATGACAAGGGGCAACTTTGGAGCAGAAATTGTCGAACCAATCGTCGTTTTCAAAGTTTTTACGAGGATTAATTCAATTTTTGTATCTTCTGGCAGTGGTCCAGAAATATTGAATTATATGAGAAGGGTTTAGGTTGGAACAAAAAACTTTCCAATTTTTCCTCTTTTCACTTTTGAGTAGACGGGTGGTGAAGGCACATGAGTTACGATATTTAAGGAAGTCGGCCATGGACCCTGAGCGTCGGAAGTTCCTAAAAAGTGGTGTTCTATTTTTTACAGCTTCTGTACAGGAGGGATTCCACCATGGGAGGAGGGAGGGTACCGATTGGAATTTGGTCTTTTTCTAGGGATTGAGGATTCAGCAGAATTATTAATGATACTGGTGAAGGTAGAGTAAGAAAGAATTGAAGGATTATTATTGGTCAAAGAAGCAATTGAATTCTGGACTTGAAGTGAAAAAGATGACCAATTTGCTTTATTGATGTTGAAAGAACTATGAATATTTACGGCAGTATCGAGATTGGCACTGCGTTTCGTAAAGTGGGATAGACGATTTGTTTTGGCAGTTACTATAATGGAGATATGATCGCTACCATGAGGTTCACTAAGAGTGCGCCATGATAAGTACCAGGAGATATCAGGAGAGCAAAAAGATAGATCAATAGCCGAATCGGATGAGCCAGGTCGTCCGACATGAGTAGAACTGCCATCATTTAAAATGCAAAAGTCTAATGAATTTATCATATTGTAGATCAGGTAACCACTGCGGGAAGACAAGTTCGAACCCCAGGCAGGATGAAAAGCATTGAAATCGCCGCAGAGGAGAGTATTTAGGGTAACAATTGAGAATAAGTCTTGCCATAGGTTAACGGGAATACTGGAGCTACTGGGGAGATAGCAGGACCATGCCTTTAAAGGGGGAGATGAATCAGATAAGACGACCTCAACACCTATGATATCGATTTTTAGATTAGTAAATCTATTTCTGGTGATATTATCAATGAGAATAAGTTTGGATTTAAGGGATCTGTGAATGGCTACGGCTACGCCACCATAACCATCCGAGGGATCTGATCTGTAGATTTTGAAATTTGGAATAGAGAGGGAACGTGAAGGTAGGAGCCAAGTTTCGGAAAGAAGAGCAATAGAGCATTTATGATAATTTAGTAGGTTTTGTTGAGATGGAAGGCGAGCAGGGAGGCTTCTCACATTCCACTGAATAATATTAATGTAGTTTAAAGAATTAATATTATTAGCAATCGACACCATAATTTATTAATTATAATATAAAATATCAATTAAAACTTGAGGAGTCACTATGAACTGTAGTGAGGTATTATTTATGCAGTGAGATTATAGAATGGAGTATTGAGAAGAGAATATATGGAAGATTCAATTAGAGACTGAAGAGAAATGGAGGAGAAAGGAGTAGATAACGAAGGAGAATTAATAAGAGTTTCAGATAGTTTATGGGAAAGAGATTGGACCCATGATAGATCTCCTGAGTTATTTACAGGAGAGGATTCTATGTTAGGAAGTTTATTTAAGTAGTTACCGTTAGGTGAGTAGGACTGAACTTCAAATAGTGAGTAATTATATTTTTTGTTAAAAGAGGGATGAGATTTATGTTTTTGTTTTCCGGAATTGAAAAAATGATGATTATCGTATAGACAAGGGAAGCTATATTCGCGGAGAGTGGTGTTTGGTTTAAGAATTTCGGAGATTGAAGGCTGGCTTTTTACGTCAGAAAAAGAATTAGCAGTAGAGTAACATTTATTTTTCTTAAAAACTATGGCGTCATTGAAGGAAATGTTCTCTGTAGCCATGATTTTTTTGATATTCTTTTGGGCTGACCATTCCTGACAGCTACGGTCTGTGGCGACGTGAGGAAGTTTACAGAAAATGCAGCTTGGATCTGTGGCATGAAAGGTAGGACATTCAGAAATAGAATGTTTGGAAACGCCGCAATGACTGCACCTAGGGTCACTGCGACAGAACTTTTGAGTGTGACCGTATCGAAGACAACGATTACATTGAATAGGAGAGCGAATGCTGGGTTTGACGTCGAAAATCATACTATAGATTGAAATGTGTTGAGATAGTTTGGGGGACAAGAACTTGAATTCAACAATGCGTGTTCGTACAATGTTACCATCTTTTTTGATAAAAATGCGTTTATAGTTTGTGATGGGGAAACATGATTGGACTCCATCCAAAAAATCGTCCTCCAAAACGTCGGAATCTAGTCTTATAATGCCAAAAGAGAAAATGAGGTTCGATGGAATAGTAACTGTGAAGCCACATTCCAACAAAACATCTGAAGTCAAACAAAGATTGGCGTTCGTTATCAAATCAAAGCTAATCTTGATTTTTTTTGAACCAGCGGGCTTGATATTTGTTATACCGGTAAAATAAGTAGAGAAAAAATTTGGCTGCCTTAATAGGGTGCCAGTTTCCCAAATTTTTGTTCAAATCAATGCATTCAACAAGAATCACGACGGGGCCGTTATAATCAGGTGAGAAGGTTTGTTGTATTCATTGAGACGACATTTTATATCATTTGGTAAATCAGTGGTGTGTATAGAAGTGGTTATTTGTGTAGAGTTAACGTCCGGTAAGGAATTTGATGTATAGTCATTAAGGTTATCAGTAGATAAACCGTTATTAATGATCGTGTTGGCCGACGAATTGTTGTCCGTAATATAATTGAAGGCTGATTGCGGTAGTATTTAAAATTGGAGTATTATTAATAATCTGTTGAAGTCCGGGGGATTGGGGAGTAAGCAGATTGGATTTTGACTTACGTAAATTTTTTTTTGATGTGACGGTGATGAAGCTTGAATCCGATGTACGATTAGTAGTCAAGGAAGGCTTGATTTTATTTGGAGCAGGTGATTTACCCGCGCGGGAGTCGCCGCCCGAAGACGACGACATTTATAGGTAATTTATTACCCTAACGATTAGATAACGATAATATGCTGCGATAACTGTGACGGAAAGAACAACAGATCGCTACAACAGCTGAAACGCGATTGAATACATATATATATATTCTTTAACTAATTTTACAAAAAAATAAAAAAAAAAGAAAATGCCGAAAAATGCACTGACTAGATAGAATTTTTCATCTCGCTTAGTAAATACAGTTTAAGAATACAATCCATATTTCATAGAGTTTTTCAATATGTATTAAATAATTCTAAAGATTGAGATAATGAAACAGAAATACTATTTCAATGATTTATCAGTGTTTTAAATAGTCAGCAAACATATTTCTTGTTAATCGTACATAGCAAAATATTCAGTTTAGCTGATATTTTATACGAATTAATACATTCCAAACATTTAGGTATTTTATACATCGTAAAAAATTGAAGAAACTAAATGTCAAGTACAAAATTATAGTTTAAATATAATTGAAATATTATGGGAAACAGTTTTATTAAATAAAGACGATTTTGAGCCACAACGTTAAAGACATGGACAACAGACCCGAAAACATTTTATAAAATACTTTTTAATGAAATATTGGGTAACATATTAACAAATTTGTGAGCACGATTTGATTCTTTAAATAAATTCGAATTTTTATCATTAATTGATCCAAAAAAATATTCAAACTACATGATAGAATTTCCAAATTCTTCACTAGAAAACTTACGAGAGTCAAATTCAGGAGATATATTTGATTTTATTAGATTACGAAATTAATTAATTATATTATACACATCTGAAGAATTTTTTAATACAAACTCATATGATCTAGTCAAAAAAATTAAGATGAATTATTTAGTATCGGCGTTCCAAGAAGTATTCGGTCAATTAATTTTAACTATTCCTCGTACAACGGCTTCAGTTTAATAAATATATAAATAATCAAATCGTATCAAAGATCTATACAAGGACAAAAAAGACTTAGTTCATTATTATTAATTTGAATTGAAAAAGAACTCCTAGACAAAAAAAAAAATAATTTAGAATTTTATGATAGTTATAAATTAATTTTTAAAACAAAAAAAAACGAATGGATTTTAAATATAAATTAATTTTAGATTATAATTTTTACCTATAAAATACTTTTTTAAAGTTTTGAATTCAAATTTTATTTTAGCGTCTACCCAATACAAAATATTACTGCACGTCACTGACATGATTAAATTTTGGATTTTGGGTTCAATCTTTTGCTAGATAAAGTCACTAACAAGTGTACCCCAATCAATAATTATTGCGCCATATATTTATGATAGACCTGTATGTTTTAAAAATTGTGATTTTTACCTTTACCATTTAATCATAATAAATAAATACCGTATCGTTGGCTACGCTGGTTTCCAATTAGGTTAGTGTTATCACAGAATAAATTTAATTTAATCTATTCTGTGGTGTTATCTGGTGTACTTGGTTGACATTTTTATGGCAACGAGTGATTTTTCCTGCGATAATCTAATCTTTAAAGTTATAGAGTGGAAGAACTGTTATTCACTATAATTTAACATAAGTGTTACAACAGAAAAAAAAAATTTGTAGTCTTGATAATAAACTAATAAAAATTCCGTTATGCGTTCGAATAAGCCCCGCTCGAATGTGTATGGCTTTCTTGTTGTGTGAAATTATTGTCTTATTCTGCTATTGTAGACCAACTGTTTACAGTTTTACATAATTTTATGTTAATTTTGTTTTAATATCAAGAACAGCTAGCATGTGCTAAGTCAAATGTAAGTATTTTTTTTCTTCTTGACAAGTCTGAATTGTATGGTGCACATCCATTATTTAAATTCTTTAATTTTTGATCCAAACAATACAATTGTTTGATTTTTGGTAATTTTTTTTATTTTGCAGATTTTCTGACATAACCTTTATTTGATTAAGGAACATTGCATATTAACTGACACATATAGTAGGTATGTTGAGACTTAATTTATTGAGTAAAATGAAATATGTTTCCTATTCTATTCATTAAATTAATTTTGTGTAACATAATATCATATACTTTAAAATTAATTTGAATAATATATGCTTCATTTTTATTACAAATAAATTAATATTATTATTTTATAAATAATTCTAGTGAAGATATAAATGAATATATGTACATATTATTAATTTTATTTTAAAATTTTTCAGATAAACCAAATATTGAGAACAGCATAATTTATTGCTCTCTTTTATAGATTTAAAATTGTATTTTTTGAAACATGGCTGATCAAACTTGTTGTATTGGTACATGTACATTTTCTCATTCTAACCAGAAGTTTTTTAAGTATGTATATTTTTGATGTACCATAGTTTTTTAGACAAGTACTTTTAGGAAAGTTGTGTTTGAAAAATATCAAAAAAAAATTAATAAATATATTGATATTTACTTTTTGCAAAGAAAAATATAATAATAAATGTATCATGCTAAACTAATGTAATATTTTTTCCTCAAAGCGATACCTGTAAATTTTAATCAGAAAATCGCCATTTAATAATTGGTGGTATTTGGAATATGGTATGAATTTTGTTTTTGATTTAAATTACTTTGGAGTTTAATTTAATTTGTGGCCTCAATCACAGACCTATTTTGGTCTTCAATCTTAAAAACCGCTTAATGTAAAGTAACTGATTGTGCGTGCATAAAATACAACATAATTCAGAGCTAGTATTTTCAAAAAAATATTTAAATATATTTGGGCATTTATCAATACTCATAAAATAATTTTTCTATGACTGAAACATTTTCAAAATACTTTTTAGTGCAGTAAAAAATTATGCTTTTAGTTGTGATAAATATATACATTTTTGGTGGAATGAAACTACAGATCGCTTATATTTAAATCTACTTTTTGATTTTTTGAAGATTGTCGGACACTAAGTTCAAAAATGGAAATGTCACGCCTTAAGTAGGATGTATGGTAACATTATGCTAAGCATTCAATATATAAAAATTGTGTTATTTCAAAACAATAAATTACATCATAATATTATAAATCTATAATATAAAAATGAATCGCAAAATGTGTTGGTAAGCGCATAACTCAACAACGCCTGGACCAATTTGGCCAAATCTTTTTTTCAAATGTTCGTTGAAGTTCAAGGATGGTTTTTACGGCGAGAAAAATTAGAATTATTGCTGGAAAAACCCTAAAAATAGCCCTTTTCTTTTTCTAATACAAAAATGTATAACTTTTCATCAATTGAGAACGGCTGGGCCGATTTAACTCAAATTTTTTTTAATTGTTCGTAATTGCCAGGAGAAGGTTTTTACAAAAATTTTTTTTGGAAAAGTGCTATTGTTTAATAAATCATAGTTTAATTTAATAATTTTTGACCCGGTCAATAACTGCACAATTGAAAATGAATTATTAAATAAAACTATTAAAAAACTATAAAAAAACTATTTAAAAACTATTAATTTTATTTTTGGTAGTAAATGACGGGTATTGCATAAATATTAAACTAAAAAGATCCCGCAACAGGTGTCAAAACAAATAAGAATGTTAGTTCGAAAAATTATTATGCATATCGGTTGATGATTAGACGCGACCAGGACAAAATTATTCTACGATATCATGAACTTCGTCAACAATTCATGGTCGAAATGTATGTAAAGATAGAGAGCGAACGATTTTGATACTTGCGATTCAATCAAAAAAAGCTGCGTGCAGATGATTCTCAAAACAATTATTAGATATTGGAGATGGGAAAGTTACTACAGATTATTACTACAAAATATTCTCTAGAAATAATTTATATGACAAAACTACGTTTGTCGGGTCAGCTAGTTAATAATAAATTTATTGTATGAATCAAAGAAATTATACTATGCACATCTTATATAAACTCCAAAATCAGAATTTTGACTAAAAAATGTTTTCATTAAAAATTTCAGAAAAATTAACTTAATAACTATTTGCATATAAAAATATTGTTTCAATTTGAAAAACAAATTGATTTGTCAATGAATTATATGAATTACATAAATATTTATATCGCATTTTTTAATAAATTATTTATATTTAATAAATATCTTTTGTTTTTAAAAGTAATTTTAGAAAAAGTATGTTTAAAATTGTGTGATAAAGAGTTTTCATCCCCTAATCATAAAAAGCGGGTATACAAAATGTAATATTGTTTATTTTATTATTTTCAGGTTTCCATTACATAATGTAGCATTACTTTATGCGTGGTTAAAAGCAATGGATTATGATAATTCATTTGATATAACTGAAAATACATTAATATGTAGTGCTCATTTTAAAAATGATGATTTTATTTTGGAAAATGGTTCTTATGATATTTCTCCAACAGCTATTCCATCAAAGTTCAAGTATGAAATTGTTTTTAGATAACTTATCAGTTTTAATAGCTTAAATTAAGTGTATAAGTTCTATACCTATAATAACTAATGTACAAATTAATTGTTCCAATGATTACAGATATGAAATCTCAAAGTTAAATGAAGAAACATATATTTCAAATACATACAGTAATAATATAAATAATACTGTTGGTAATAGTACAGTATTTAACTCTGGTACAGATTATGAAATTCATTTGTTGCCTAATGCTAATGAATCTTCTAATTTTACTCAAGATAAATCAGATGAAAATGATAACCAAGAAGTATCACATCAAATATTTCCAACTACAAGAATTAATAATGACCAAAATGAATTGCTTTATAGTGATCATTCAACTAAAAATAATAACATACCACAAAGAAGTTTTTCTATTTACCCTTCTTCATTAGAATCTACGAGTAATTCTGGAATTGAAATAAGTAATCCACGTACTATTGGAAAATCAATTTTATACCAGGAGACCAATCAAGACTTAGATAATCCAGATTATTGGATGCCTGTAAAACACCGTTGTAAATCCATTTTAACTAATAAATATGCTAAACAATTAAGATTAATTGCCAATTCAAGAAATAGGTTCATTACAAAATATGATAAGAAGGGTTCTGGATCCATAAATGCAATTGATATTAATCTAAGGTACTTAACACTAAGAAAGCTTTTATATGAAACTGAAAACAAATTAGTGGTCAATAATTTTGACACATCAAAATATCCAGCTTTTCGGTTAAATAATGACATGGAAATATCTAATATTATTAATACCTCACTAGGAGCCATAAATGGCAATTCGTCTACTAATAAAAATTCTTGGTCACACCCTGATAACAGTTTCTCAGAAGTTTTACCATCAGCTGACGATGAAAATTTAATTTTATAAATAATAACTATTTGTAAATATATATGTAATATTTTTATATTTATTCCAGGTATGTTTGGTGAATTAATTAGAACTACTATTAATTTAATTTTGTCTTGAAAATTATTTCACCAATAAAAAAAAATCTAAATAATTTGATTACTGTAGGTTTTATTATATTGTTGAATCTTATATTTTAAATTATTATTTTAAAAATTAAAGATTAGTGATATATTATTGTACATTTTATCTTAAAACAATTTTTATTCACTACTAATTATAAGGTAATATTTATTATTTTTTTATATATTGACAGAATTGAGTTGTATCACCTTCCTTGATATAACATAAAATGTGTATATTGTTTTAAAAATATATATAAATTATGATATCATAAAATAAATTCATGTTCATTATGAAGTTTGTGTTTTAGTTTAATAATAATTTTCAAAATATATGTGGTTATTAATTTTGATTTGAAGCTGAAAATATTGTTTTTAGTTATTTATCTACGTATTTAAATTCAATAGAAAAACTTTTTTGTAAGTATCAATATTATATCATATTTATTTTTTCCTTCAACTTATTGTGAATTTTTTTCAGTTTCATTAATTTTAACTATTAATTTAATGCATTTATTGTTATGATACTTTTATTGACAATTTGAAATATATATATTCCTGATGGTTTCAAAAATAAATGTATATTAGTAAAGTCAGGGGCGTATTTATGGGGGGGGGGGGTGTGATATGGGTGTTAGAACATCCCCAATCGACCATTCATTAAATTACAAACTTACTTAACAGTATGATTTGAATAAACGTTGTGTACACTTGTCGATTTTACATACACTGTCTTAATATAATCATTTTCATTGGTATAATAATTTATATAAATACATGGTATTTATTTATGTAATATAGGAGGGGGCAGAGCCTCCCACTTACCATAAGTCTATTAAATTTTAAAACACCCCCGTTAAATGAATCCTGGATATCTGAGTCAAGTTACAACTTCATAATTATGTTGTATAAAATTAAATAAATGTCCATTGTTATAATTTTTAGGGAAAAAAATTTCGATTTTGATAAAGTTATGATTCCAAAGCCACACTAATTTCTGCCTATACAAATCATCGTGAAATTAAATATTATCCTTAAATCATTTTTAAATTGAATTGTTCATGAAAAGTAATATTACTTATAACCGTGGTATTGATTTAAACTAAAATCTAATGCTTAATATTGAAAAAAAAAAATAATGGTTTTTAGGGTCACCCAGAAAGTAAAATTACAAAAGTTCCTTAAATCTGGGGACATTTTTTTTTTGAAATTGGCACATGTCATGTAAGATGACAGATCGATGGAGATCGTCACGAGAGTATCAATCGATATAGAGTCTATTATATTAAAAATATATAATTAATTTTCAATTTATACAGTACGTACAGAATCATTAAAATAATTTTGTACTTTTGTCGATGTTGAGTATAAAAAACTTTTATTTCATTCAAAAACTAGATGGTTATCATTGTTTTCAGCTATAAACAGACTGTTGCAAATATATCCAGTTTAAATAATCCTGCACTTAAATCATATTTTTTGTCACAAAATCAAATACCAATTGCAATTAAATCATTTTTTGAAAATCCTTTAAATAAAAATTATTTATGATTTATTCGTTTACTAATATATATATTTTATTCGAAAATTGAGATAATGGAAAATGAAAATAATTCTATTGGGGAAATATTATACTTATTGTTGTTAGTAGAAAGTACCTTACAAGAACGAAAACAACAAGCGTTTTTACCCATAAAAGCAAAAGAAATATTTAAAAATAATTATAACCAATCAAATGCATCTAATCTAATTTAAGAAAAGAAATGTTAAATGTTTATGACCATGGTTTGTGTTATTTAAAAAAATGAACAGCTAATTTTGATCAATTTAATGTTCTCAAATGGATGTCCCTAAAATCCCAAACCTTTGTGGATTGATATAGAAAATAGCCTATTATTTAAAAAAATAAATGATCTATAATTAAATAACTCTTAATTATTCGATCAATCTCAAAACTTAAAGTGGTTTTGTCAGAAATGGAAATAAATGAAGATTTTTCATTATTATTATCAGATTAAAAGTGGGTAAAATATTTTGAATAAAGGAGCTATGATACATCTACCGAAATTTTAAAAATATGCACATTTTACTTCGCCATACCAGCTCAAACTGCCAATGTCGAAAGAATTTTTAGTTTTATCAAAGTACAATAGATTGATGATAGAAATAGACTTCTATCCGATTCTGTAAAACATTTGTTGATGACACAATACAATTTTAAGCATTTTGACTGTACTCAGTTTTATAATAACTGTATTAAAGATGAAAGTTTTTTTTATCAAAATTTCGAAGTAATGATAAATATTAAATTTTATATCTCAATTCTTTATTAATTTTTTTTTTAGTTAAATAAATATTAGCTATGAAAGTAGATTTTTATTATTACTTTTATGGCATAATATTATACAAGGCTGGACATTAACGAGTTAAAAATTAAAATTAAGTTAATATTAACTAAGTTAAGTAACTCGTAATTTTTTTTTTTGAAACTAACTTTTAACTTAAAAAGTTCAATTTCAAACATATTTAACGTGTTAACTTCAAGTTAATTATATATATATATATATATATTTCTCAAAATTAAGTTATATTTAAAATTTTAAATAAACCATTGATTTTTTTTTTCATTGTTGGCTTGAGAAATAATAATGTCATAACAATGAAATGGAAAAATTAATAATTAATACCGGTTGTTTGATATTATATACCTACACAATATAATATATATATAGGTATTAGGTGGATAGCCTGTATCCAGGTAATAGGTACCCACCCGCATGTAATAATAACTAAGTACCCAACTATAACTTTTTTTTTTTTTTTATAGTAATAAATTTGTGTTTATTGATGTTGAATATTGATGTCTATACAATATTACAATATACATACAGTATTTACTATTCACTATTTAGTATTTAGTACTATACGTCTATACACAATACACATTATGAATATGAGTTATATGATATTGGGTATTACTATATATTTTGTATATTTTATACAATTAAAATTATATGTATATCATTTTCATAATATATAATGAAAAAGGACATTGAACATATAAATTGATATACGTTTAGGTAATAATAATATTATAATAGTAATCATATTATGAAGTTGTCATGACGTCGCATTCGTGTACTTAATTAGTTTTTTTTGTAAACCATAACTCATTTTACCTAGTGACACGCACACGCCACACATCCCAAGAAACACGTTATTATTTATTACTTACTTGAAATTATTAATATAACTGATGGAGAAAAAATTATTTCTGAACATTCTGATTCAAAAATCGTCAACTGCCCACCTTAAATCCTCAGTAAATACTGCTTAGCATACTACATAGTTGGCCACATGAGCTTGACATAAATTCCATTTTTGTCATTCATTTTATTTTATTTTCATTTCATTTTAGTTTTGATTAGAGATTCGACAGTAATTACATTTTTAATTAAGTTAATTTTAATTTAGTTAATTTTTTTTATTCATTAATTTTTAACTTAAAGAAGTTATTAAAAATATATTAGTTAACTTTTAATTTAACTTAACTTAATTTTTTTTTTATATTAACTTAACGAGTTAAAAAAAACCGTTAACTTGCTCAGCTTTGATATTATATTATGTACTCTTTTCTTAAAGGCACCATCTGGTAACCCTATGCGTGAGTCGTATCGTGTGTCATAGGTAATTTCATTTTATTGTATTTTTTTTTATAATAATTATGTTAAAATCGTAATATTTTCGTAAAATTATTATGAAGTTTATGTGGAAGAAGTTGGGAAGCAATCTGTGTTGTATGCCAGCTCCTACGATAAGCATAAGTTGGTTTTATATAAAGATGTGATTTCAAACAATATGTCGTTCTTGATTAATGATAATAAAAAAATAAATTGATTATTATTTAAACGAAAGAATTCACGAAATGTATGTTTATTATCATTAGAAGAATGTCCTTTTATAAGATCTTTAAATAAACCTTCACTTACTCTTGTCTTAAACAATTTTTTTACTTGAATTTCTTTCCTTAGTTACGATCTAATAACGGATTATACCAATTATTGTCTTCCTCCTCTAATAATAATAAAATAATTTTGTTATAATTATTAATGATTTTTTCCATCGCTACTACTTAGTTAAAAATAATTATTATAACAAAAAAATAATTTATCAAAAAATATGTTTGAACTTTACACAATATTAGGATAAAATGAACTCCGGCCTCAACATTTAGTCGTATTTAGCATGTAGTAGCATATAGTTGTTACAGCCAGCCGCAATTTGAAAACGTAATTGGACGACGTGCGCTCCCGCTATTTACTGACCGTACAAGATCTGGACGGGCAATCGTTTTTTGACTTTTCAAAACAATAGCGCCGCGAATATTCATAATCAACTTATGGAAGTTTGTGGTAATGATGTAATGAGTTGATAACACGTTACAAAGTGGATTAGGTTGTTCAAAGAAGGCCGTAGGTACTGACATTTACAATGAAGAAAGAAACGGGGGTACCGTCAATCATTTCGGACAAACTTGTGCAAAAAATCGAAGAAAAAGTGCAATAATGCAACAGTGTTTTGGGATTGTAAGGAAGTCCTTTAGGTTGATTTAATGCCTAAAGGCACACTATTGATGATGAAGCGTATTGTAACAACTTAAAAAATCTATGGAGAAACATTCAAAACCTTTGATGAGAGTTGTAATGAGAAAAGTAATCATTATAACCAGTGCCGAATTAAACATTTGTGAGCCCTTTGGCAATTAAAATGTTGGGCCCTACAAAATTATTTTTTTACAAACATCTTTAACATTACTATCTGATAACTAAAATAAACAGATTTTATAATAACCAATTATTATTAATAAATAAAATCATGTCCATTACATTTTTTTATTTGCAAGAAAAATGAACTATTACATTATTTATATTTTTTTCAAAATTATTTTATTATTATTACTGCATATAATACCTACAACTTAATATATATTATATTTCATAATAACAGGTATAATTAAATAAATAAAAATATAGTTTTCCGT